CCCAAAAATAAATGAAAAAACGTTGAAAAAAAAAAAACAATTATCAACGACTGCTTTGGTTAATTTCTCAGAGCACGAAAAGTCCTTCATTTCAAATTATCTGGAAGGCCTTAGAAGTTTTCTCCTTTTTCATCTAATACATTTCTTTATCAATGCAGAGGAATTCAGTCAACAATTTTTTACCAGGCCCGCATTTGCTACATGCCAGCCACTGTTAACATACTGATGTTGGAGCTCAGCTCAAAGCAGAAGGTGCTCAAGGTGTGCTGTTTGGGTTGTCTCAAGCTGAAAACCATTTCCTAAGTGCTAGTTCAACATTTCCCACCTTAGCTCAATCTATCCAAAGATACCAAATTAGTCCATTTTGATCAAAGCGGTACCATCAAAAAACGTGTAGCCAAGGGGCACCTGGGTGGCTCAGTCACTTAAGCGTCCAACTCTTGACCTTGGATCAGGTTGTCAAATCAAGTCCTGCATCAGGCTCCTTGCTGGGGCCTGGAGCCTGCTTGAGATCCTCTCTCCCTCTCCCTCTCCTCCCCCCAACTCTCTTGCACATGTGCACACTCTCTCCAAAAAAAAAAATGTCTAAGAGATCTTCATCTTTTGAAACACAGCATGCAATGGAAGAAAAGCATCACTACTAGAATCAGAGAAATGTGAATCCAAATCCTACCCCTGCACCTTAATAGCTATTTGGACCTTGGGCAAGTTACTGAGTACTTCTGAGCTTCCGCAAATTTCCCCTCCTCTGTACTACGGTAATCCCAGAATCTCAAGCCCAGAAGCCCAACTTATTCTTCAACCTATTCTATACCCATCCAAGTTGGTAAAATAGGCCATCTTTCAACACAGTAATGACCCATATATCATTCACATCTCCAACAAATTGAAATTCAAGTCTTAGCACTTGAAATTTTAAAATAAATGAAAATATTCAAATCAGAAAGGCAGAAAAAGATAAATCAAAGTAGAATTCACAAATTATTAAGGTTTATCTGTCCACCTTGTTCTTTTAAGAGAGAGAGTATGAGCACTGGAGTGGGGGAGGGGGCAGAGGTAAAGAGAGAATCCTAAGCAGGCTCCAAGCTCAGCACAGAGTCCGACACAGGGCTTGACCCTACAACCCTGGGATCACGAATCAAGATCCCTGAGCCGGAGTCGAGAGTCGACGATCGACCGACTGAGCCACCCTGACGCCCCTCCGCCTTGTTCTTAATTCATTCTCACTTTAAGTATTTATTCCAAACAGATTTGGAATTGTTACATGGGATTTTTTTCCTTGATAAGATCTGAGATAATCAGTTAAAAAAAAACTACTATCACAGATTTTGAATCTTTTAAATCAACTAGCCCAAATCTGTTACTTTATAAAACTGAAGAAACTGGGACATAGAATAATATGAAGGACAAATAAAAACTACATTTTAAAAGACTTCATGACATAGGAGTGTTCAATACAGAATACTGAATGAGAAAAAAGGATTATGACAATCTACACACAATATGAGCCTAAATAAAAAAAATAAACATAAAAGAATGTGGATTATATTTATTCTTTATACAATTCTGAATTTCATAAATTTTCTATAAGAAACATATTTAAAATTTAAAATATTCACAATATTCTGTTTCCAATTAAATGGGGTATTTAATTCATAAAAAGTTA